AGAATTACTTTAGCAAGAGGACCCATGCTTCCTAGAGATCACCCAGCTAACTCTGAAACTCTACCCATAGGTGCCTAATGTCATCTGCTAAAAATTTTAAATCTGTGCTTTTGAAAAATGTTACTAGATATGGCTTAAATGATGGTATTTCATTTACAATTTATGTTGAAACAATCCCCAATGCAACAGTACAACAAGGTGTGGCCCTTGGAAGGTCATTAAATCAGGAGGCTCTGCCCTCATGAATGGGATTAGCATCCTTATAGAAAGGGACCTGGGATTAAAGGGAACACTCTCTTGATTTTTCACCAGCAGCCATTTAAAGGTACAATAACAGCGCCATCTTGGAAGCAAAACTAATGTTTGTGCCTTTGTTTTAGGCGCACCAGCTTCTAGAACAGTAAGAAATAAATTTCTCTTCTTTATTAATCACACAATCTAAGTAAGGCATTTTGTGATAGTGCAAGTGGACTAAGACAATACCCTCTTTCAAAATAACAGAATTGGCTGCCCATAAAAGTTGACATTGGAGTCATTATTTTTATAGGTAGGTTGTAGATGCCATCAAAGCCATAAACCCTTTACAGATGCTGGTAAAACACCTGAACAATTACAACAATTGCAATGTAACAATTGTTACAACACTCCAAAGGTGTTGAAATACCACAGAATATGTATGAAACAGAATAGATTCAGATGTTTTCTGGAATACAATTCTTAGCATGTACCAGCACTAAAATTGTACATGATATCAACAAGTCGATTTACTGAAATTTTAAATCAAACTAATGTTTTGGTAGTGCTACATGCAAAGTGAACAAAATTCATTTATTAGTTTTTGGTTGTTTTTTTTTCCCTCATCATAGTTCAACTTTTACCCTGTCTTAAAATTCTAATTTGTAAAAGGATGTAGATATATATATGGATATTTCTAAAAGGCACTTCTCTGATGCTAGATATTTTATGATAACAGCAAAACTATGTGTTCTTAAAGAGCATTGTCAACCAATTATATAATGTTTTAAAAATAACGGATATTGTTAGCAACATAGCTATAATATTAGCCTCTCCATTACTTAGATTTGAATAAAACTTGAAACATCAGGACCATGGGAGCTGAGTATTACTGAGTATACACTGTCGTTTTATCTTCTGATACTGAATCAAAAAAGGAAAGGTAGGCCAGGCTGTGAGAGTTTGTCTGTATGCACGTGTTTCCTACCACACAAGTGATTGCAGTTTCTTCACATGATTCCAAGCCTCATTAAATCTGATTTTCTCATTCATCTAAAATTGCTATATTTATTATAACGGCTTAACCCAGCTGAGGTATTCTCCTTATGGAAAAAATCATCCCTGATCTCTGTCACTGCCATGTGGCAAAGTACAAGATGCAGGCTGCAAATTCAATTTCTGAATCAGTGTATATCAGAAGTTGGCTCGGCTGCATAAACAAAGCTGATTGGGACAACACCAGTCATGCACGCAGTGTTTATTTAGACACGATCGGATCAGATGCATTGTGTATTAAGAATGGTTAAACAAGTATTGCTTCTCCAAAGTCTCTATTTATCAACAAAAGAATTACCCACTCAGGATAGAGAATATTTTTCATCACCAATCTTATCACTATGCATTAGCAGTACACCACAGCTGAGTAGTAGCAAGTCCTGTTTTCTGCCACAGCTGAATTAATTTTCTTAATATTCTAATTTGATTTTTCATTACATAGAGTCAGGCTGTACAATGAAGACCTTCCCCTCCCTAATACACTCATATCAATTCCTTTCAAATATTTCAGATACCTGTAACTTCAGAGAGACCGTTTGAAGTTTAATATCCTTGAAAAACTACCTGAATGAAGAAGACAAGACGTTAATTTCTCCCTAACAGTGTTAGGAACCAACCTTGAAATTCTGGAACCAACCTTTAGTCTGTAGATATTTACACTTCATTTTCTAAAACAGATAACAAATACAAGGCTAAAACAATAATCTAACTGCTTTCCTCTGATTTTTTATTATGGATCCTGAATGTAGATGTCTGAACAGGTTATAGGTTTGTCATGAAGGTTCTGAAAGGCAAGGTGAAAAAAGCCCTGTCTATGGTACAGGAATTGTTTTGGAAGGTACAGGAATTGCATTACATTAGCATGTGTTGTTTCTGGATTTCGAAGCAGGTATGTGATCAGCTGTCAATCAACAGGTATTTATTGAATCCTTTATATGTGCTTCAAAACCTGCTAGGTTCTGTGGAAAATTCGGGAGCAATAAAAAACACATGGCATCTACTCACAAAGAGTTGATAAATTGAATGGGGGAGATATAACACAGAAAATGATCAATAAATAAAGCTGCATGTTATCAGGCAATCAGCACCAGAGCTTATTATCCTGTTTTCAGTATCTCAGGAGGGTTTTGAAATAACACAAATTACATGGAGGCAGCAAGAAGACAGGGAGATTACAGCAATCATTTGGCATTAAGCAAGTTACGGGATTAGGCAACATCTGGACCCTGATTGAAACCTGACTTGCCAGAGCACTTCCCAGGGATTATCTAAGCCTAGCTATTTCAATAGCTTATCCTAGCTCCTCTCTATGAGAACAGAAAGGGGCACTGTGGCCATACCTGAGGGCTTCATCTCTTTCTCATTTTATTAATAATTTCAGAGGGTGCCTTAAGATCCCAGATTTCTAAACTTTATATAGTAGAATTAGGACTGAATTATTATAAGAGGAACTGGGTAACATCAGGGAGGTAATCAAAATCAATTAGTTGAAGTAACAGAAAACAACAAAACATATAAAAGGGAAGTCATTTCCAAACATAGGGCCAACAAAAGCTATGGAGTGGAGATAGATAAGGGAGGAGGCAGACTCCAAAGCTGTCTGCTCTTTAGCCCAAATCTTTTGGAAAATAAGATGCTTGTAAGATTAATATTAAGATTTCTGAACATTAGCCCCCTGTGATTTAAAATCATTAAGATTCTACAACTGTGCTAATTATTACAGCACATTTGCATGAGAGAGAAGTTTGTATGGGAGGAGGAGATGGTGGAGTGATAGGCAACTTGGAGAAGGAAATCAACATTCCTTGAGTAGTAACTTTTCTGTGTCTAAAGCCATAAGCTAGGCACACTCAGTGCTTAATTGACTTCTGTCATACACAATGTGGGATGCCAATGTCACTAATCTTTCAAATGACACAGGTGACACTCAGAGGTTCAAGTCACATGCCAAGCCTCAACCAAGATTTCCGTTGAGGAACTGGAAGATAAATATAGGATGAGGGACTTCAGATCAGCTGTCCAAACTTAAGAGATAACAAGAGAGGTGTTGGGGAGGGTGCTCTCAAGGTGTGGGAACTGCCAGCTGACAAAGCAACAGCGGTTCCCTCTTCACTCTCACTAATGCCCGTCCCTAAAAATCCACGCACACTGGGTGTGCGTCAACATGTATAATGCTCAGGGACAGTCAAAGGAATAGAGGTTTTTGCCTTGTTTTGTTTTGCTTTCAATTTTTAATGAACAGCTGGGTTTATTTTCTTCAGAAGGGATTATCAAAGCCTTCCTTGAGGCCTGAGCTGCCTCACAAAAGCTCCCACTTTTCCCTTCGAGTCTGTGGGTTTCTCTCTGTATCCTCTCTAAGTATGTGCTTCCCCTCCTCTTTCTCTTCTTGGCTGGCTCACCCCATATCTCTCCCTTTCCCACATTCTCCCTCTCCCTCTGTTGCTCTTCACTTCTCAAACCTTTGTTTCTTTCTCTCTTCTTCCTTCCCGCTCACCTTCTCCTTTCCTCTTCTCTCTGCTATTTTTCCGTTTCTCTGTTTCTCTTCTTCTACCTAACTCGTGTGTGTGTGTGTCTGTGTGTGTGTGT